CCCCCCCCCCTCAGGGATGGTCCGGCCAATAATGACAATTTTTTCGATAACTCAGCCATTTCTTGACGGATCCTTCTCATCTTCGAACTTGACCGAGACAGTGTTAAGACTGAACTGTGTAGAAAATTTCATCGCGATTGAACTCTCCTTTCAAAAGTTATCGTGTAAACGGTCGGCCTGACGGCCGGACATACTGACCGATTCTAGAGTGTACTCACTTTTTGAGTACAGAAAAAGAAATTTCTTGTGATTAGCAACAGTAGCTACATCATGTTTCATATTTTAGTCTCGTAGAGATTACGCTAAAGCTTTTTTTTTCAAATTGGTCATATTCTATATAAAACAAAGTTCATTTCAATAGAATCGTATTATAATCTCCTTTATACTGTACATTTTTCCATGAAAGATATATTTTTTTTTTCAAAAATTGAACGAACATAGTATCTCGAAGAATGCAGAGTGAAAATAGGAGTCTTTTTGACTTCGATATCTCATAGACATTAGCATCTAAGAGCTATGAGTCTATGACAACTTCTACTCTACTCATGACGATCTATTTGTCATGAAAGTTTCAAAATTTTCTCATGATCTGTTCTCAAGAAATCTCATAAAAGAGAATGATATTGTTAAAATATCGAATTTTGTGAGGTAAGGATTGAATGAAAGATATGTGCGCTTGGCTGGTTCACAATATAAATATTACTTTTTTCATATATTGTTCTCATGTTAAGCACATAAGAGAAGAAAGCAAGAGACTGTTTTATTGCTTCTTTGCATAGAATGAAAAAGAAAGAAAAAAATTGAAGCGTAGCAGTGCAAAAAGAAACGAAGACAGAAAAGAAAAAACGCGATTTCGAACACAGTTCGATAAACAGTAACAAATCATATTGTCATCTGTACAAAAGAAAAAAAACATAAGACACAGACACGGCGAAGTAAAAGCTTAACGTAAACAAATCTTAGTTCGTCAAAGAAATTTTAGAAAAATTTATCATGATTTTACCTTATATTTTACTTATAAATAATATTGGCTTATTTATTCTCGAAATTGTTGGTTATCATATGTGTCATAGTGGTAAGTTTAATTTATTTTTAATTAAGAAAATAATTATAATATTCGAAATAGTGGTAATGCTTCTTGATGGTTATTATCATCTTTGTCAAGCTATTTTATGCACAGTACGAATTGTTTCACCATTAGTAAGTTAAGAAAAAAAAAATTATTAATATAAATATAATATTTTGTAATTCATAATAGATTCAATATACATATACATCTCGACATACTTATGGATTAGCTCGAGGTAAAATTGCATTAGCTAGTAAAAGAAAGTGTAACAAGGGTGTATTTTTGTTTTTCTTTTCTTCTTCAGTGATATTAAGCATCTAGATCAGATCCAGAGGGTGATTTTTAATAACCAATAGAGTTTTATTTTATTAAGATTTTATAGATGAACTATGATGTTAAAGTTTCTAAAAAAAAGAAAAGACAGTAATTTTCAGATTTCTGAAGACTTTGTCGGAGCTGCTTTTTGACAACGTATATTTACAAATATCTGAATGAAATATGTTTATCTCTGATTTTGTTCTTTTTGAAAATGACATTATTAAAAAATAGTTTCTGACATCTGCAAACTACTGTGTCCAGTTTTTAGAATTTTGGCCAGCATCGTTCACCTATAAAATCTTGCTATAGAATACTTTATCTAGATTTGAACTTGATGAATAATATTATAGAAAAAAATAAAAATAAAAAACGCATTGTTGTTAAACTTTTTTCCATCAATTCATTCATATATGCACATACATTATTTTCTTAATTTTTTAATTAGTTGGTGTTGTGGGTGAATTAGTTGCTTTTGTTTGTTTTCTTTCGTTATCAATTTCGGTTTTTCTTGAAAGTATTAAACATATAATTGACGTCGTTATTGTTATACCAAAACGAGAAAGTAATAGTTCAGCTTTATTTACTGCTCATGGTCACGGTATGTTTCTATAAGAAAAAACAAAACAAATGTTTATAAAAAAAAATAAATAAATAAAATTATTTAGAACATTTTCATAGTCTTATTGATCATCCTTATTTTATTCTTGGTGTTGGTATTTATGCTACTATTTCAAATATTTTATTAGGCATTGTGATACTTTGTGAGTAAAAAATAGAATTTTAAGAATATTAATTAAAATACTTATATAGATATTGTTAAAACACGTTCAATGAAAATGCAAAGACAATTAAATCAAAGAAGACCAAGCTTAAAACAACCATTACCAAAGAAAATATTATCGAAATCATGTACGTAGAAAAATTATTGGATTGATTTAAAACAAATAAAAAAAATATTTTCAAAATTTTATCTCAACAGTTATTAATCTGTTGTCAGACAAAACATTTTTCTTGATAGTGAAATCTATGGATTTCATAGTTTTAATCTTCTAAAAACTATCCTAATTTATTTATTCTATCTTACTTCATATTAAATAAAAATCATCGAAGTTTCTATCAAAATTATGCTCTTAAGAACTTCGTCTTCATTGATTGGTATTTAATATAATCAAGAAATTAATTTGAATGTTCTTTTATTGTAGTTTTAATATTTTTTTCAAAGACTTTTATATCATATGATTGAGATTAGGATGACGGACAAAAAAAAAATATTCAAACAGCAATATCACACGTAGACCCTACTTAAAAATTACGATGAACATTTTCTATTAGAATAATATTATTTATTTTATATTTATTCTAGTACTTATTACTGATACATTATCACTTCATCATTCATATCTTCAAGTTTTAAACATGTTACTTGGTCCAATAGCTATATTAACATGTGGTATTTTACTGGTAGTCTTATCTGAAAAACATGATATTCGAGTAGTATTTACTCGTCTTGTTGATCCAATTATTGGTAGTTTTCTTTTTCTTTCATATTTACTTATGATTTATATTCCAAGTATAAGAATAAATAAGATTTTTTTTTGATTAATATTTAATGTTTTGATTTTGTATTTTCTTTTAGTGCGTCATGTAATGCATCTTGTTTTACAAGCTAATCCATGTAATCTTAAATCAGATCAAATTGAAAATTTACTTCGTGATTCTGTTTGTAATCATATTATTTTATTTGAATTAGAAACAAGAAAAAAAAATTAAATTATTAAAATTTTTCAATTTAGGTTTCAGGTGTTTCAAGTATTCATGAACTTCATATTTGGCGTTTAACACCACAAACAACTTTAGCAACAGTTCATGTCGTATTTAATACAACAGAAGATATTTTAACAAAATATCAAGATATTAATTTTATATTTCAAACACTTCATATTGATCATGTTACAATACAACCGGAATTTGCATTGGTTTAGTTTTCTTCTTTTTTTTCTTAATTTAAATTAAATATTTTGACAATCCATGTTTTTCTTTTTGTATGTTTAGCCTACAGATGAAATTGCAAAACTTGGTTGTCATTATCAATGTGCAACAAATAATACGGAATGTGGTCCGTTACAATGTTGTGAAAATTTGCTAATTACTCAAACACCATAAATATCAATATATACGATTAATTGAGTCTCTTGATTTCTAGACGTAGACAATTCAATTTATGATCTCTTCTCTTTTAATTTCGCTCACTGTTTAGTTCTTAGAAATAAAAAATATAAATAAACATTTCTATTTTTTTTTGTCGTACTTTTTAAGTTGCTTTGTTTTTTTTTCTTTTGTTTGATATAATAAATCAAAACCAAAAAAGGGAACCATATATAACTGTACCTAAAAAAAAAAAAAGAATAATTCGAATATTTCTATTTTGATTGTTTCAAGTGGAATGAGTTTGCTTTTTTCATATAGATAACAAAAATAGAAACTCTTGCCAAGATATTCATAGTTTATTTGGATCTACAAAATACATATGGTCTTGAATCAAATGCCATTTGAATAATTGGAGGATATCTCTCGTAAGACAACAAAAATGAAAACAATATTTATTAATGTTGGGATCATTAAATAAGGGCTGGTTGAGACAGAAAAAGTGCAGAAATTGGTAGGAACTTGGAATCGATGATCAAATCAAAGATTCAAGACGATCATTCAGACTGTTGGAAACGACGGATTGGCGCATTAACTGTGAAAATGTTTCGCCGTAATAGGTTAACCCATTTTTTTTCGATAACACTCAGTCATCTTTTCTTCTAGTATTTTCACCGTTTTATATCGTTTACGATCGTTCTTTTCGACCTCAAGAGTTCATGATTCCTATCTAAGTTAAATCAACAACAGTCGTAAATGGCCGTTTAGTAAGCGCAGTATTACGATCGTATTGTAAGCGATCGGATACTCGATTTATAAAACGTTTGATAATCACTATCAACTCTGTATGACAGGAAACAACGGTCGTCATAATACTACGTTTACGGCACGGCCAGCCATCGGTCCCCTTCGTTGGGGAAGATTCGAAATCAGTAAGATTCAGAAAAAAAAATTTGTTATAGAGAGTGTGATCTTGAAATATTATTAAGTTTGTTCCGTATTCCGAGTTACACAGCTGACACATAAAACCAATATCATTTTTCTTTCCTACGAGTTTAAAAACACGAATAATTACGAAATTTCACTGTTTTTTCACTTTTTAACCTTTCATTTTTGTCAAAATAATGAATGGAATTTTNGACGTTTGACAGAGATATGAACAAAAACAAGGGTCAAAAAGAGCTCATTTTCGTTCCAAGATTTCTCGGTATGGGCTCTGTCAACATATTTAATTTTTTTTTTGTTTGAAAGAGCATCTCAGGATGCAGGGCAATATAGAGTTCTGTTTTTTAAATTCTTACTTTTTTTGCGGAGAAAGGGGCTCACAAGTTCAATGACTAAAAAAACGCGGCAAAAATGGGTGTCCAGTCATATAAGTGTCTGTCTATATAATAAAAAATAAAGCTTAATTAAAAAAAGGACTCTATATTGCCCTGCATCTCGACGTGCTCTTTCAAACAAAAAAAAATGTTAATATATTGAACGACACTGGACCGAGAAATCTTGGAACAAAAATCAAAAAATCCTAAATCGAGAAAAAACGAAAAACATTTTTTTGATTTTTCAAAAAACAGCTGGTTTTTCGAATAGGGAGTGACGAAATTTTTGGACAAAAAGGAGGTATCGAGGAAAACTTTTTATCAGTGATGAAAGAGCAGATCACGGGCTATCTTCCCATGCATTTATCTCAATTTCGAAATTTTTGACGAAAATTGACTTTTTTTGAGGGGGGGGGGGGCGAGAGGCCTTAATAGAAATTCGATAAGTAACCATCCTGATAGAGAATCGTTTCAGTTAATGAAATCTATTCTTCAATTTAATCTAGTTGTTACAGTTAAGGAAAAAAAAATCAAAAGTACTTCGATTCTATCCCGTAGAAATTGCATTAACAAATTTCTAATATGCGTCCAGAATTTCGCTAATAAGACATTCTCCAATGGCGAAAGTATGATGAACTTTTGCAAGCTGTCACAAAATAATATTAGTATAAGATACATGTAACGACTAAAGCTAATATTGCTAGAATAAATATATATCAAAGCTTACACTTATCAATGTAGTTGACAGAAATTTTTTTCTATTCACTGTTAAATTTGTAAAGTTCTGAAATCCTTTTTTAATCTATTATAAAATATTTTCAATTCAATATGTTTGTTTTTTTAAAGGTTAATTTTATCTTTCCGGAAACATCAACTCAATTTGATGTAACATGTCTTTATATGCTTCAATTAGCTACAATTTTATCAATGGTTAAACCATGGAAAAATCGTGCTACATTACGTGTTTTTCTTTGTATTGATGCAATTAATGATAATGCACTTCGTACTCAACAGCATCTTGATGAATTACTTAGTCAACTTCGTATAAATGCTCAAACACGTATGATTGCTTGGGAAAATGTTACAGGTCTGCTAAATAATACATCAACAATAAATGATAGTGCAGCAACAATACCTGTTGAACAACAATCAACAACAACAACAACAACGGCAACAACAACAGCAGCAACAACAAATTCCTTTATTGATATAAATGATGTTTATGTTCGTGGTGTTAATGAGCTTATTCGACAACAATGTGACAATACATCATGTCTTTATTTATATTTACCACGACCACCAAAAGATAGAAATCTTTCACCACGTTATATGCGTGTTCTTGATATTTTATCAAATGATTTACCACCTGTTATGTTTGTTCATGGTGTTTCATCTGTGACATGTACTCAATTATAAGTTTTTTTTTTTTTTTTTCAATCAAAATTTTCTTTTGTTTGTTTTCATGTCAGAATATTTCGTATCTGTCTTTTAATCTCTTTTATTTTGTTTTGTTTTCGACTTATTTAATAAGTGTTTGTCTTTTCTTCCTTTGTCTGAATGGTTTTTAAATTGCACTAATAATAACCTTGGTATGTGTTTTTCTTTGTATGTGTGCGTTTAATTTAAGATGTCACATTCTCAACCTATTATATTTAATAATGAATGGTCAATTAGTACAACACATGGTTCCATATTATCATCGGAAGGTTCAAAACGTCAAGAATATGAACAAAATTTAGAAACACATCATTTACCTGATATGATATTTGATAAAACAACATTAAAAATAATTCATTTAGGCAATAACTTAGAAATTTTATTTAATACATTTGATGCATTAAAAAGTATTGATATGCATAATAATATAGAACATATACCTAAAGTATCAATGAGTGAAATATGGACAAAATCACGTAGTAAAGATAGAGAATTGGATTATGTTAAACCATATGATTGGACATATACAACGAGATACAAAGGTAATTTTATCTTGTGTTGTAAAATATGAACATCGATATTTTGTAGATTAATTATATTCATTCGAGAGATATATAATGATTAATTGAAATAGGATTTTGAAGGTTAAGCATACGAGAAAAGAGTGACAGCGAAATTATTTTTTTTTTCCTGGTACGATCAACTGAAGTTCACGCAGATCCCAGCTACTTTTATCATACTATTATAAGTACACAATATGAAATAAAGCTTTTCATCTCGTGGACATTCTCTAGTAAAAACTAGTATCAAGGTACGAAATCGGTATCTTTTTCCGTGAGAGAACCTGCCGGAAATTTTCAGATGCGGGAGTAGGAATCATTGACCTGATTAGACTATACTGGTAATATTCACTGGCTACATTCAATTATTATTAATGTGAATAGGGCATCTAGATGTGTATGTGAACACTTGTTGACTATCTAAGATTTGTTTGAACTCTTGTAAGGTTCATAGTAATATTATAAATTCATAACAAGTAATTGGACAATGTTGTTTTAGAAATGCGCATTGTGGACACTTAGTATAGTACACTGATAGTATCAGTCAATCAAACGTAAAATATAGTAAGGCAATAGCTTTTTATTCTACAGGAAAATGGATTAACATCTTTTTCGGTTGTTCTTCTTGTAATCAAGTCCTCTCTATAGTTTTGACGCATCTATGATGAACTTTTAATAACTTCGTCTATTATATATATATTATCAGTTGTGATCTGCACAAAGTCCAGATGGTCGCATACCAGGATTAATGATTGATAATAAAGTCTTTCTAGTTTGTAAGGTAATTTTCTTTTTTATGATATTTTTTTTCGCAATATTTATATGATTGATGATGTTGAGATCGAGTGTGTCATCTCTGATTTTTCTGGAATGATTGTCAAGCGATGCTATTTGATCGTATTTTCTAAAGATAAAAATATAAGTAATAAAGAATTTTGCAGAGAACAACAGTTTTTAAGAAATCGTCGACCAAAAGACTTAATCTGATTTATTTTCTACAGACAAACGAGAATGTTTTACAAATTGTATTTATCTTAAAGCTCGAAGAAAATATTTTTTTTATTCATTAGAAATTGCAGAATACACCACCAGATAAATTTCATTATTTATTTTTTTGCTGAAACTTTATCAATTACAATTTGATTTGCTCCTATTGTGAATAAGAACATTGAATCTGCTGGTGTACCAGTAATAGTGTGAATAAACATGTGACATGGGACCTGAAACTTTCCGTCTAACTCATTTTCATGTTGTAAATTGGTTTTCCTTGTGTGTTCTTGAAGAGAATCACAGCACTAACTTGAAAAAATATCATATTGTTGCGGTAGCTTTGCTGAAATAAGTGAAGGGTCCGAACTATTTTTTAACATACTCATATCTTATTAGAATTTATATGATACGCATAATCTCGAATCAAAAGCAATAAAAGCTAGTTGCAAGACTTTTCTCTTCAATCATGTTGATACTACGAATGATAATCCTGAAATTTTTATTAATAAGAAAATATTTATATTTCTCATGAGAGTACCGTTCGAAGTGATTTATCGCTTCTGACTCCATATTTTGCCTATACGTAGCAGACCTGTGAATTAGGGTTCTACAGGAAGGCTTCAGTAAAACTTTTCTATCTCGATCAAATCATGCGATGAATCACTTTGAATGGTTCTTTCGTTAATAAAAAAAAAAAAAAGTACAAATAAAATAAAAATATTCATGTTTAGGTACTTTACGTTCATCAGGAAATAGTACATGGCGTATTGAATCAACTGATCAACAGCTTGATTTAGAAAAACTTAAACGTCAAGAACCAATATTATTTTATGATGAATTAACACTTTATGAAGATGAATTAGCTGATAATGGTATATCAAATTTAATATTAAAAATTCGTTGTATGCCTAGTGGTTTTTTTATTCTTCTTCGATTTTTTATGCGTGTTGATGGTGTAATTATTCGATGTTTCGATACTCGTTATCATTATGAAGTTGGAAATAATTATATATTACGAGAATATACTGAACGTGAATCACCTGTATCATTACTCAAACCAGAATTTCAATCAACGTCAGATATCAATTCTCTTATTGCACAATTAAAAACTAATTTACATCAGTTAGAAAAACTTTTTTTTTAAAACATCGATTTAATATTGTATTGTTCAAAAGAAACTTTCTTGATGGTAACTAAATACACATACACAAGCACAAATAAAATAATCATTGATAACGTAACGACTGGCATCCAGTGACGGAGAAATAAGTAGATTAATTCTTTGTGCACAGCAATATATATGTTTCACTACTTGTTTTTTTTTTTTTTTTTTTTTTTTCTTACAGCGAAGAATAAAATGTTTTGTTTTGCATGAAAATCTTACGCTTACGAAGAATGAAGTTCATAGGCTTTTTTTCATTTATCTGTTCATGTATATATTTTGTTCCTTTCGTTCTTTCATCAATATTCTTACTAAATATTCTCTTTCCTTGCTGCTACTATCAAGTGACATCATACTTCCGAGAAGATTTTCATTCTCTATTGTTCTTGTATATCGATTTGTCGAAATGTGACGTTATTATATTTTTTATATAGGTTTTTTTAATTATCTCGGAAGGTTAGAGAAAGTGTCATTTGAACAGTTTGATAGCGCGATTCGTGAACAAATGTTCTCGAGGAGAAGGGAATTTATTTTGAAAGGAAACAAATATGTGGTCCTGATGAAAACGTTTATTGTTCTTTTAAGTGTTCAGGTTTGCACTATGATTTTGTAGACCCATCTTGATTCAGCCAATTGTTTAAGTCTCGATTTACTCGTATTGGATAGATTACAATTTTGTACGTTAAGTACTTTCAACGATGAATTTTTTTGAAGCATGTTATCGAGATATTCGACGCACCAATCATTCATTGGCTTGTTATTAAAGAGAAACAGTTCTTGAAGAGTTGAATTGTTACGAGCGAGTGTGTCAGTCAACAGTTGTATTCCTCGATTGCCAATTTTATTGTATGATAGATCTAGTTTGATCAATGTACTGTTTTTCTTAAGCATAGCAGCAAGATGTTCCGCTCCTTCATCTGTAATTCTATTGATACCGAGACCAAGAGATTTGAGAGCGAAGTTATTTTTTGATAACGTTTCTCTTAGAATTTGCAAATCACTGTTTGAAATGCAATTGTTCGCAAGCTCCAATTCTGTCAATGTTTTATTGTTTTTCAACGCATTAGCAAGAAAGAAGATACCTTCTGTCGATATATTGTTTCCTTCTAAGTTTAGTCTGGTGCACTTTTTTGCGATTATCGCGCAATTTATAACAATTGGCATGTCCTGGTTCGTTAGTCGCTGTCCGGACAAGTTTGCTTCAGAGCCAGCTATACATTGAGCCATGATTTGTTCGAGTGGAGCATTCTGATAGGTTTCATTTGACATTGATGCGTTTGCTGATGGTGCTTGTATCGAAGTCGGTACTACCTATGAGAAAAGTTAAAAAAATAGTCGAAGCTATTAAATGATGTAAAATATCACTATTTTCAATAAGAAATACGAGAATAACTTAATGAATCTTATTTTCATGCTAACTACGCTTTGGACATCCATCATCGATACAGTACAAGCTAGTACAACGGGAAAAGCTCTTCAAGATAGATAATGTTTTGACAGGACATGCAGAGAAAACATGTCTATCTAGTCTTCGAAACTACAATAACTAATCAGAAAACGTTGTTTTAATGATTTCCTGTAAAGAATTTTGAAATGTTTTGATGCAGTCTACATTCATAAAATCACGCGTCTGTCTGATGTTATTGAGACGAATGAATCATTTTGTCATATTGTAGTAAGAAAAGCTGTAAACTAGGGTTTGTCGCGTAGTTAGCTTGATTTTTAAGGTTATTTACTGAATTAGATAGTAAAAATATGCTTCTACCACTCTATGTAGATTCATTGTTACATATCCGATTGTAAAATTCTAGATACGTAACGATTTCTTTTAGAGCTTATATTCTGAGTGAAGATCAGAGTGATTGTGTATCCACCGACTCTTTATTGCAGAACAGTTTTCTTACTTTGAAAGAAAAATATTCAAATAGCTGTAGTGAAATATTGAATCAGAAATGGGGCTTGTTGAATTGCAAAATAGTCTAAGTTATTTTACTATAATCACATCTTCGATGCTTCGCAGTCTTTTTTTCTTACTTCTGCAGCAGAATTGTATTCTTTATCCGACTGACATCTCCTACAGGATATGATTACTTGATCTGATACTAGCAACTAGAAATACGACAAGGATGTCTTGTTATTGATTTTTCAAAGTCATCACGAAATCTCATTGAAAAATTCACACATTATCTATCTTCAGAGTCGGCTTCTGTCATGAGTCCTTTATGCAGGATTGAACTGAGATCTTGTCCAATATAATCATCTTTTTTTAGTGAAGAAATCAAAGAACTTCGGCAGCATTTCATATGAATTCGAATCGATTCAACAAGTATAAAACAATACCTCTTTTGAATCGACTTTTTTCACTGGAAATGACGTTGCCGCAATAGGGGATCCGCTCAAAGAAGCTGGTTTATTCGAACTCGGTGTGACAGACACTGGTTGTAGAAGAGGAAACGGAGATTCGATTTCTCTTAATTGAATCATATGAAGACCAGGTGCAGGGGCCAAACAAGCAATCACTTCGAACTGTCGAGCAGCAAGAAGAAGAATCTCTTCTTCTGATTGGAAATAAGAATGTTTCTGAATGTTTTTGCCACTGATGCACTCAATTGCGAACATCGTTCGGATGCCTGTGTTACCCAAAAATAGTTCATTTTCGAGTACATTAATGGTGGCTGTGCACGAAGAGAATCCCCACCATACGACAGTTTTGCCTTTGGCGTACTGCTCACTCAGATCTAATTTGACACCTCGGTAAACAGTTGTACGATTTGATTGTAGCTGATAAAGTCCAGTAAGAACGAGTTTCAAATAAAGAAACCATGGTTTGAGCTTTTGTCTATCGGCTGACCTCAGAGTAGCATTCAAAACAATATAAAGACATTGGTCGAGTGGTTCCCAGCCCATGGAATAGAGCATAATCGAAGCTGATTGATCTTGCGTTAAGCCATCAGATGGTGATTGACAGTTTTGCTTGGCAACATGGGCGTAGCTTTTAATTGTTGGCAGAAAAGAAACCAGTGGTTCGACGGCTTGTTCAAGATTAACCAATGGCATGTTCTCATAGCCACTAATAGGCATCAACATTTTATTGTGTTCTTGTTCAAGATCAGTAATGCGCCGCACATGTTGTGCGATTGCTTCGTTTGCATTATCAGTCTTCAGATTATTTGAGGTTGCCATTGACGATTGAAATGTAGGAGTGATACTAATTAGATTATTTTGCTTGATTCTATTTTTAAAACAACTTTCAATTCATTATTTTCTCATTGAAAAAAAACCAAAATGGAGTGATTAGGGAAGAGTCTGAAAAAATCATTTGAGAAACGTGTAAAGAGATATTGGCACTGATCGAGTTAGAAAAATGATCTCTCATCAAGATGAATTCATTCAGAAAAATATTTTAATCCAATTATTGAATAAAATTTCTTTCTAAAGTCAGAAGCAGAATCAAATAAATTGTTTCAAATTGATCATCGAAAAGTCGTGTGAGAATTATATTTGTTCAATTTACGGTCCAGCTTTGTTTTTGAAGTAAACAGGTTGAAATCGAGAGTGATCTGTTTTAATATGTATCTTTTCTCACTTGTAACTCATCATTAGCAGGCAACACTTGGATTGATCTTACTTCCAATATATTTTATGCACTAGAGGAGCTATATATTAAACAAATCAAATACCAACGGAGTCACTTTCTGAAAAGAATCATATGTGGCAAGTACCTCATTGAGGATGTAGCTGCTGCAAGCGACTTCTTGAATCATTGTGCCCTTCTATTTTTCATAAAATTATCTTCAAAATGTAGCAAGCGAGGTTTCGTCTTTGAGAATGCCTTCGATTAATACTGGCATTTATTATTTTTCACAGTAGCGTCTCAAAAATGTGCTGCATGGTAGCCTTGACACACTGTACAGTCGTTATCAAAATTGTTTATTCACTGCCGTCTCGTGTGATTGTTATTATTATTGTTTTTCGAGCGAAAAAAAAACTGAGTATTGACAACAAATAGAACGTATCTTTCGTCGACTTATCAGACGTTTTCTGCTCAAGTGCAAGCAACTGTTCAAGAATAAATTCTATAAGCATATCGTCTATTCTCAACAAAGAAAGTAAGCCCAAACACCAATATGTCGCGTCTCTGCAGATGGCTTATGCAATCCAAACAGCGTGAGTCACTTTTTTCTTACAACTTACAAGTAGACCTATTGTATGACTGTCAAAAAAAGTCCGAATCATTAGATATCAGAGACAATTGCAGTTTTCACACACAAAGTAAAGAAAAGCAAGATCGCCTTTGTAATTGATTCGACTGATGCTTATATTGAACAACATCGATATAGACGAAAAGAGAAGACAACATAATGGGAGTGGTGCATCATGGATGGTGTGGGTGGGTGTGGGTGTGTGGGTGTGGGTGTGGGTGTGTGGGTGTGTGGGTGTGGGTGTGGGTGTGGGTATGGGTGTGGGTCTGTGTAGTAGATGCGTATTACTAGTCTTCTCGTCGAATGCCACACCCCACACCCCCACCCACACTCACACACCCACACCCACCCACACCATCCATGATGCACCACTCCCATTATGTTGTCTTCTCTTTTCGTCTATATCGATGTTGTTCAATATAAGCATCAGTCGAATCAATTACAAAGGCGATCTTNCACACCCACACCCACACCCACACCCACACTCACACCCACACCCACACTCACACCCACACCCACACCCACACCCACACCCACACCCCACTCCACACACCCACACCCTCATGAATTCTATTGTATGAATTTTTCACCATTTTTATTCCACAATTTTGACTTCTTAGAAAGCATAAAATCCGTTACAGTAGTGCTGCTTCTACTGTATTATTTTCATTCTATAAGTTTGGTGACCTAAACAGACAAAAATAATTACGTAGGTTTCATGGATCCTACATCGTTTTGATTTCTTTTTAGTCGAAAGCATCATCTATTTTGTCTTACACA